TTGGCCCAAACTACACTGTGTTGTCTAGGGAGCTTTTCTGTAGTTCTCTGAAGAAGCAGAACAAGCCCTGTAGGCTAAACAAAGGTACCTAACACTGCCCGAGAGAGCCACCTATAGCTAGGCACGGTCCTGATATTTTCTTGTGCTCCTCTTCACTCGGTCTTCGGACTCAGAGATGTGGAGAAAACAAATGTTGCATATACAACTTCCTTAGAAATAAAGCAAAGCAGCAGGCAAGTTCAGGAGCCAAATGATTGTACAGTGACCTTGGGATTTGTGCTCCACGACTTAGGGAGGTTAATAATGTTACAGAAAAATCTTACTGGAGGAAAAACAAGCACTTTTTTGGCTTATCATCCATGCTTTAAAAGTAGTACTGCAAAGCAAAAGAACTAACTTCCAAATAGGAAGTTATTCCTGTGTCATAGCCTAAGAAGATCTTTTACAAGAGACTTGCAGAATTTAAGAAAAACATCTTTTTTCAAGCCTCCAGTTAAACCCAAGAACAAAGGACATTTTAGGAAGGAAAAGTAGTCATTAATAAAATAATGATTCCTGCCCAGGAGTGGGAATAATTTAACATGTCAGTGATGGTCTTCCATTGAATTATCCTTTGAAAAGCAGAAGCAATAAATTACCATTTTGAAGAAGCGAGCCCTCATCACACAAGTTACATCAATGGAGTTTCAGTTGTGGGATCCCCACAGTTCCCCTGTGGCCCACCATGCCAAAACACAGCTGTCAATACCATTTAGCCACCATAGCTGGCTGCATTCTGCACCTTCAATGTAAGGGAAACAAAAGGGTGTCCCTTCTCTCCCCCCACCCCTGCAGTCCTGCTCAGAGGCAGTGATGTGGTCATGAGTAAGTCACAGAACATGCATTTGAACAGTTTTGCCAGACACACCCTTGGAGCTGCACCCAGTTGAATAATTTCTCTGTTCTGCAAACGAGGGCAAAATGTAATGACCCTTACAAAAGGGAGACTAAAAGGGCAAGACCAGAAACCTTTTTGGGGTGTTTGCTTGTTTGTTTATCAGAGCTTCCACTGAAAATTCGGGGGGTTAACAGACATACTTGAAGCAAATTTGAGATGATAGCGAAATACGGTACAATAAAGATGGGCTTGAATAGTGCAGGGGAGTGAGGACAGGAGAGAAAACAGCAGCACAGCACAGAGCCGAGCGCTTCTCGGACTCTGAGCTCCTTTGGAAGCAGCGTGAGCTCCATCCAGAGAGCCAGGTGAGAACTGCACGGGAAGGCAGAGCCGCCTCACCCTGTTAGAAACCTTTTCTGTGAGATTGGCTTTTAGATGGTCTGGTTTAAATTCATCTTTCGATCACAGAAAGAAGGGAATAGAAGGGGAGAGAGGTAAATTATTAGATGCTATCTCATTATATTGTTTTGTTACAAAAGGAATGTCAAACCTTAACTCCAAACTATACAGTGGCTAAAGAGATTATTCTCAGATATCACGGCTGAAAGACAATTGTTCCCGGTGTCACATGGAGTAGTAGATTCGATCCTTTTAACATCAAATTAGTTGTGTCCCCTCTGAGTAACATAAAACAACAGGACAGACACAAAGAGCCACAGACGGAGTGATTAGATAGAGCTCACAAGATGCCTAAAGCAATATTCACAAATAGTTTCTACCAGAAGGTCTTTTGTAAGTCCTTTGGAGGTCGACCGTTCCTTTGATTGCAAAGCATCAGGCTGACAGCAAGGTACACAAATTTGGCCTCAGCCAAGCACAAAAGAAAGGTGGGCATCAGTCAGAAAACAGGAAGCAGAAAACACACAAAACAGTGAATATCTGAACAACAGAGAAGATTTGCAATTAATTCTCTTTCAAACCTGCCCTGTCCTTTACATTACAATGTTGTCATCTAAAGATACAATCACCACAAGACTCTCTATGTTCATTGTCCAGACACCCAGATCCCATAGTGACCCTCTTCTTCTTTCAGGAAATGAGTAAAAAAATTGTTAATGACCCAAATATGCCTGGAATTAAAGAAAAACTAAAGGAAATTAAATAGATCACATGGAGCAGGCACAGTAAACAAAACCTCCATCAGGTTTCTGCAGTTAATTTCTTTTCAGAGCACTTGAACATTTCAAAAATGAAATGTGATTAAAAATACAGAGGATGAGCAAAATATCTGAATCAGTCGTTTCCATGTAGGATACAGATCTGCCATGGAACTTAGGGCAGAACTTCCAATCTGCACTGCTACAAAGAACAATGTGACAGCTACTGATGAAAACTTTACCTAACTAATAACTTCCTTTCTTTACTTAACTGATGGAATAGAATTAGAACATTTCGGTTGGAAGGAAGAACATCTTGTCCAACAGCCACCTCAGGGTGACCAAAAGTTAAAGCAGGATGTTAAGGGCATTGTCCAAATGCTTCTTAAACACAGGCTTGGGCCATCAACCACCTCTCCAAGATGCTGGTTCGACTGTTTGACTACCCACGTGGTAAAGAAAAGCTTCCTAATGTCCAGTACAACCTCTCCTCATGAACTAGCTTTGAACTGCTCCCACATGTGCTGTCACTGGACCCCAGGGAGATGAGATCAGCACCTCCCTCTCCACTTCCCCACTTCAGGAAGATGTAGAGGTGGCCCCTCAGCCTCCTTTTCTCCAAACCAGACAGCCCCCAAGTCCCTAGCTATTGCCCTGCACCCTCTCTCCCAATTTATAGTTGGTGCCTGGTGTTTCTCCATCCTGGGTGCAAGAGACCAGCATGTGGATGACATTTATTGACAAAGAAATGCATCTTTTACAGATGTCTACAATAAAGTAATAGTAGGGTTTTTTTAACCAACCAATCTCCCTCATAAAATTCATGCTTGTCTGTGCTGCTTTATTAAAGCCTAAGTATTGAAAAAGTAACAGCAGAAAATGCTAGGCTCATGAGATTTAATTAGAACAGTGTAACAGATTTTGAAGGTTCTGCTGTATTATAAAACTTAGATTTCCCCTGTGAATTATCTGACCCTACATGTAATGAATCTATTTCTTCAATTAAAAACATGCTCATCCAAGAGTTCCAGGACAAATAGAAGATCTATCATTAACAATAAGTAATATTTAATAAACAAGCACACACTCCCTGCCTGGAAATCTACCAAATGTCTCTCTAGGCTCCTGCCTTCCAGCCAAGTAGCTATTTCTGTGGATCTGAACTTAAACTTGTAGACCTAAGTTGTTATCACATAATTGTTGCTGCAGTATCTAAGGCATTACATAACACTCGTGTCTTACAAGTTTGACTTTGTTCCTATGTCAGCAAACTATGAAATGGTTTTTCAGTTCAGTGAGAATGATTTTGAACCATTGGCTATACATTTGATAGCACTATGGCTTGTAGTATTATTTTTTTTGTACTTATGGAATTTAGTTTGTCAAGCATTGTTCAGCCCAGACTCACCACCTCAAATTCAGAACCTTCAATGACATGTCTAAATTGGGAGCAAAGTGCCATGTGCTTCCAAAATCTGTCAACAGAGGGAAACGGCCATCTGTACCTACTGGAGATCTAGCCTACCCTCTGATGAAAATCCTCCTTCAAATGGGAAAGGGAGAGCTTTCTTTAGGAGTTCATTGGGTTTTGCCAATGTTTGTATTGTTTCCCTGCTGAAAGGCAGATAGCAATTTTTGAACAAAGTCAGTAAGCATGTTGTTATATAGAAATATCTTTATTAAGGAAATCATTAGAAAATCTTCCTGCTCTTATTTTGCATAAGTTTTAACAAATATCTAAATTACAGATTATTATATTTCTAATGGTATTTCTAGCAAAAAAAAAAAAAAAAAAAGTGTAACAGCCAGAAGAAGTAATCACTGCAGCCCATTTACCACCAGGTTAACAGGAAATAAATGCCATTTTACTATTGTTCTCTTGTTACAGAATTTATTGGTGCATTTATGCAGCTCTATTTCATTTGCACATATATGAAGAGCACTGCTGTATAAAATGTAAATAGATTGCATATGGAATTTAAATCTTTCCAATGATAAAATTCCTCAACAGCCTTTTCAGTAGAATTACTAAAAATTTTTAAGTCCATGCTTGCTTTTAAATTAAAACACTCTATTTTTATTCAAGCACAGAGCACAGGAACAGTTCAGCTGCACTTGCCTGTCAGTTTATTCAAAGAGGGTGCTTACTAATTCATTGATATCCCATTGCCTCAGTAAATAAGGACACAGTCCTACACAACACCCTCCACTTATCTTTTTATACAACCCCTCCAATTGCTGCTCTGGGGGCAGGGCTCTGCATCTGGACAATCCTCCTTTCCACTCATTACATGCTGTAAATGTGGGAATAGGGTGAAAAGGATGTTTTGAGTACATCCTCCAGCCTTCACCTTTGCCTCCTGCATTTTATTGTGACTTTATCTGAAAGTAATCAGGACCAGTAATGCCATCCTTGATTATAACACTTCATAACTGGCATTATTCTGTCAGGAAATGGATGTTCAACTGGGATCACCATTATGCTCCCAAAAGACAGCTCTCAAGTTAGGCGTCCCACCACAGCACTGGAAAAACTGTGAAAGCTGAATTATTCTCATATCCCCTTCTAGGCTAGATCCTCCATCTTCACAGCAAATACCCTCAGCTGTCACAGGTGTTTTAGACACTGTTCTCTGTCTGTAGAGTGCTGTGTCCCTGGGATCCCAGTCAAGGTGAAGACTTTGTCAAGAAAAGCCAAATCTGAAATAAGCTCATCGTCTACATCAGCCAGAGCCAGATAGGGAATGGTGGACACGAGGAAAGAAGAATAAGGTAACAAAAATAACTTCAGCAGAGAAGCAGGAGCTCAGATGGCTCGGGGTCCCGAAAAACAAGTGTGTCACTTCACAAAGAAAATGATCAGTAAGTAACTGGAACTGCAAATACAGTTCATGGCATACTGTTATTACTCAAGTCAAATCTTTATCATAACAGGATTTTATTTATTCAACATTTATATTTATTACCTTCTCATGAGCTCTTCTTTTTGTTTCAGAGTCCATCCAGTCGTTCTCCTTTTCTAACAGGTCAATAAAAGCCCAGCGAATTCCTTCAGTCAATTCCTCCATCTGCAAAATATTTAGTAAATCCCTCCCAGTAAAATATATCATGGCAGAATCATTGTAAGGAAAGTTTTAGTGTATATAGGAGCGATAGATTTGTTTAGACCACAAATGATTGCAGATCAGATGGTATCTGCTGTCCTTTCTTGAAGGCTAATTTCTGCTTTCTCCAGTAGTAACGCACTGCTTCTTCTTAAGGTAAGTTTTTTTCCACCTTCTTTCCCTTCTGGCATCATACAAGCTGTTCATTGCTGATCATTTCATGTCATATTTGTGAAAATACCCATCTTGAAATCATAAAAAACACTGAGAGATTTGCAGTCCTTTGGGAAGATTTCTGTCCTTTAGGTTCTAGATCACTGGTCCATGCAGAAGGAGCCAGCTGAAAGGCTTTTGCACAAATAAAGCCTTTCCTGCAGAGAGAATGTCTGTGGCCTGGTTTGGTTTATGTGAGACTGAGGCACGCCTTATTAATACTGGCAAAGAACCGAATTTGGGCTGACAGCATCATGATCCAAATACAAAGCAGTATCCAAATATTTAGCCTGTATTTAGCTGCACTTGTGAAGCATTGCTACCCTTTACTTACTGCAGGGAGGGAGGCCCTGGCTCACACCACTGAGCAGCCTTAGCCGCTTCTGTGGTCCTGGACCATAAATGACAGCTTGGATCTGTGCAAAACTGGGAAAGCCCACAACCACTTCACCTTGGCTGCTTCTTCAGACACCTCTGCAACGCCAAGACCACATCTCAAGCAAGTAAAAAATAATAATAATAGGACTGCTCCGTGAGTATGCACACTAAGAAAACCCTGAAATGACAAGAACCAAGAAATATAATGGCTAAAATATGCATTATATGAGTCTAAAGAGCCCTCATTCCTATGGATCTGTCTGGCAGCCCAGAAAAGTGCATGCAACCAGCTGTGTCTATTTATGTCAGCAGATGAACCCCACGACAGATAGCCATGGGAATGCTGTGAGAGGGAAGCAATGAGAGGGATCCAGCCATTGCCTGAGTCCTTTAGCAGAAACCAGAGTTGAGACAGCACAAGACATGACAGATGTCACCCATTAGATGAAGACTTATTGGAACTTTGTTTTATCAGTTATGTTACATTCAAAAATAATGAAAATGTCAAGCAGCAGAGATTTGTATAGTCTTATTCTATAAATCTAGCAGATCTGAAATGTCATTAAAAGCAGAGACTAAACCCTCAAAAGTAACATTATTTTTAGCTAAATTGTCATTAATGTATCAGACGAACATTTTAATCTGGAACTGTCCTTTATTGTGGTGCAGTCAGAAAAAATGCAGCAAAGTTCCTTGGATTATTAATTTTTCCTACCATTTCAAAAAACATTTTCTTATTTTTAGAGGCAATATGGGTCAACTGGAGCAGGTCTAGCATTAAATATGACTAAAAAGTAAACATTCACAGTAAACTGCGTCCCAGGAAATAGGGTAACTTAAAGATATTGATGACAGAGCACTGACTCAATTAACTTCATTCACTAATGAGGTGAACTCCCTGTATTTGGAGGTTACAAGTTCAAACTCAAGCTCTGCAGCTGGGCCCTGGTGTATACTTAGGCTTTATGCAGCAGCGGTAGCTGCAGGGGGCAGGGGCAGAAACCTATTCCTGCTATCAAAGTTATTACTGAAACTGCTCAGGCGTATCTGTAAAAAACACTGCAGGCACTCTGAGTTAGAAGCAGTGCTATATTTAGACACAAATAATGTATTTCTTGATAAAAGAAGTATCTAAGGTATGAAACATCAGTCACAAAACATGGGGGGGAAGAATCCATATTATCCATAACTCAGGATTTGCTTATCATAGACAGATATATGCCATAAGCCAAAAAAAAAAAAAAAAAAAAAAAGAAAAAAAAAGAAAAAAAAAGAAAAAAAAAGAAAAAAAAAGAAAAAACCCCATGTGCAAATAAGAGTGCTTTACTCACACGCTTTCTTACTGCTTAAGAAAGAGAAATAGAACTGAAAACCAGTGAAATGAAAATGATAATACCACAAATTATTAACTTGAAAAGCACACTTCTAAATGAAATGCAACAAATTTCATCTGTATGTAATTTTATCTCCATGGGTTTTTCATTTTAAGACTGAATGTTGTGACCTACACTATGAATTTTATATGCATTTCTCACTACGGGTGCTACTGCGAATTCAATCTTGATAATTTTCCAAAGCTTTGGTCTAAAAGGAATGTGTATACTAAGAAACATTCTAATTAACTTGCATTTCAAGAGAAACTCTGCTCTATCTGCTTCTCATAATTTTTCCTCGCATATGCAAATATAAAAAAGTGTCCATCCCCTCTACAAAGTGTACATTTCTTATACTCCTACTCTTCCCACTTATCTGTGCTGGATAACATACTGCATATGCCTGGCATATTTTTGCCACAAAATGGCCAAATAGCACATTACAAACTGGATTAAGAAAAAGGAGATTGAAAAGCTGGATCTCAGAGAGGAAACTCCAGTTGAAGGCAAATATGAAAATAACTGCAGAACCGGAGAGGGAAACAGATGACAAAGATTTGGACAAGTCAAATAAGCATGTGCCTTCTAAAATGGAATCCTTCCCTGAGAAAGCAGTCCAAGCAGATAAAGCCAAACAGACAAACTCACGCTACTGAGCCAGGGCAATGCAGGGCTTTCACAGAGCTGCTGCTCCCAGCACAGGCTGCCATCTCACGTTTCCTAAATGGTTGTGCCTCTCCTGCATGGAGAGCTAAGTTCAGTGACTAAATGAGTCAATTTAAAACTGATTACTGCTGAAAAATCAATGGCTGTAAAAGCAGATATTGGAAAACTTTATAAGAAAAACATGAACTGAAAATAAGTCATAAATTATTGTGAAGGGTAATTAATTATTTGAATATTGAAAATTTTAGAATGAGGATGAACATCTCTCTAGACTAAAAGGTATGGAAGAATATTCCCTTCCACTGTTCAGCAGGAATGATTTGAATCACAGATATAAACTCTCACTATGTGACTCTCAGCTTCCCTTAATTTGGGCCAGATATCAGTCACATGTTTCTTGCTCCGATTACAGGTGTAGCAGTCACAGCTTTCAAAGAGTAATCCTAAAGCAGAGAAATCTCAACCAGTGTTTTGATTAGTCAGTAAAAACTTTACCATAATAAATTATATTAACTACACCAAACCACTTCTCATCAATACCCCTCACTCTGTTCCTGCACAGCCTGGCTGTCACTATTTACATAAATTAACAGTGTTCAACCTGTTTTGGACTGGCTGCTATGCCTGAAGGACTGCAGATGGAAAGAAGGGGCAGTGCCCAGATGGGCAGAAAGGTAATACTTCTTCAAATTAATTCCATTTTCTCCTAGTGTTTTGGGCATTTTAAATTCAATGAAAACATTTTCAAGAGTCTTCTGTCTTTTTAAACTTTGTTCTAACATCAGAGGCAATTTGTGAGCATGAAACCACTAACTGAAAATTTCCAAAGACTACAAAGAACTCACCATCTCTTTCTTGTCTTCTTGAAAATGGGCTTTCACAAACATCTTACCCACAACATAGGGGAGGGCATTTTCTACAAGGTCCACACATTTATCCCACTGAGGCAGCAAAGTTGTAGTCCCATGAATCACCTGTTGACAGGGGCAAGTATTAGACCATAACATCATACTGTTTAAGAGGAACCCACACACGGTATAGGCCAAAGCATATTTGTCAAAAAGCCACCAAAAGGAAACAATAATGATATTATACAGTTATTTCTATTTTCATCCAAAGCTATGACAAATATTTTGAATACCGCAAAATACCTCTAAGATTTTTAACTTCAGAACAGTACAATGGTAGCAGTGACTTAGAGAGACTAGGCTTTAAGAATTAGAATTACTTTGGACTAATCTTGGTATTCTTTCTTTGTGAGAGACAATTTCCTCTAGAAAAACCATGCTGTGAGATATCTCCTGAAAACGTTTGCCTCTCCTCTGACAGGGTGAGAAGCCTAGGAAGATTGTCCTCGTGAAAATTGGGCTAGTCCTTTTGAAACACCTCCTGCAGAACCCTCCATTGCCATGAACTAATGACATTTAACACAGATGGGTACATGTTCACACCTTCTTGTCATTTATCTGTCCAACTACTTTTATGGCAGCTTGTGTAAAATAGTAAAATTGCTTTCAGTTTCTTTCCCAAATGGAGCATTTTCAGGAGAAAAGAGGTTTAAATCATCAAGAACACTGAAACTGTTTGTCTCCCCCCAAAAATAAAAAAAAATCACTCTATGTTGCAGTAGAAAGATGTTGGTAGAACAACTTGCATTGTTTTACTAAAGGAATGGTATTAAATGCATACTTTCACACTCTGATGATGTCACCATAAATGAACTTCAAAAGAAACAGTCAAGAATGGTCAACACAACAAGGAACAAGGCAAAACAGAACTCAAGAGCATTTGCTGCCTTGGTTTCTGTTTTTCTCAGGAGGAATGTTATTACTGTGGATGCTTAGCTAGCTAACATTATTACATTGCTCGTCAAGATGTAGTTTGTGTAAATAAATCCTGTGTAGAAGGGTAGAAGATGGGTCCATGTGAGCAATAATATAGAAGATGGGTCCATATGAGCAATAAGCAGTGCTGATTTAAGAAAATTTTGTTATTTTCAATGTTCAAAGTGTTCCCTTTCCACTTAAGAAACTTCTTAAGCTTTTCCACAGAAAACAAGCACAATTCCAGTCCAGGAGTTAACACCTGACAGCTGTGAAAAGGCAGAGTATAGTCAGCATCAGACCAGAGCAGGTAGGATTGGGATTTTGGCCTCTCACAGATTATAAAAGCCTCTTAAGCATCAATTTTGCAGTTTCTGAGCCCTTTCTTTCTCCCATTATTCTCCTCCTTTGAGCACAAGATTAAATGTTCAGCAAAATTAAGGGTCTGGATTTGTCTTTTTCCAATAGGAAAATATTTCATTGGAAAATTCCAGAGCAGCTTAACCCTCAGCTATTGAAGGTGAGATATTTTGGTAGTTCAAAGATTGATTCTCCCTATCATATTGTCTGTAATTAAGCATAATCAATGACTCACACTTAAATACACCAGTGAATTGCATTTCCAAGTGCTTTTTATTAATACTGTATATGCAGTAATAGATTTTCGATGGCGAAGAGTACATTGCTTCTAAAAAGAACCCCTATTAGTCAAACAAGTACACAATAAGGTGATATTTTTCCTAAACAGAGCCAAATTTCACAATCAACTCCTTTTCCAAACTCTTCAACCTTTGTACATAACACAACAAAACACTCAAAAAAATATAAGAACAAAAGAGAAGAAAATTTCTCTCTGGGGTCAGAGTAAACCTGCAATGGAGCTTTTTCCTGATGCAGGGGAAAGAAGGGGAGTTATGGTATTAGTCATCAGAGCTTGAAATTCCTTCCAAAAGCTATGAGTATGCATCAGCCATAGAAATAGTCAGGAGACAGAGCTGGCTTTTAGACTGTGACATACCATTATTACAACATAATAATTATCATTATTTTGAGGGAGGCTTGACTGTAAGGAGGCTATAAAGGCAGCACAGGCTGTGAGACCAATAAAAATAGAGTTGAGAGGAATAGATTATATCTCACAGCTGGTTTATTGATATTTATGTCACAACAGCCAACAGGAACTCCCTCAAATGGTCCTCCTAATATTAATGTACCACTCTAAAACACAGTACTTCAGGTAGTAACAGTGGCTATAAATAGCAGGTTTCAAGCCCTCCCAGTCAATTCAGAGCTTCACGACACAATTAACCAACCTCTTCCCCAGGTGCCACTGCACATTTACAAGGTCTCAAAGTGCCACTGCAGAGGAGCTGCTGATAGTTGCTGGTGTGGTACTCAAAGCACTTTCTCTAGAGTCAGCAGGTTTGTCCTATTTCTAAACCTGAAGTTTTTTTAAAGTGTCATCATGTATTTTTCCTTCTCCTTGCAAAGATTTTAAGGCACTGGTGCCAAGATTTCTACACACATGGTATAAAAGCCACCAATAGAAAATGAGAACCTGGTGAAAAAAAATAGTCTGCTTATGATGGTTGAGGCTGACTGAATTAAGGAAACTATGGATGTATAAAATACATCCTTTGCTTTAAGGGTCACTGATTTATCTCATGCTTATATCTTTTTAGTGGTAATTCAATGTTTTATTCACTTATCTGGCAAGGGATTGGTGGGTCCTTTTTATGATCCTAAGGTGCCTCTGGTTCTCCATCCTCTGACTAGACAGATCCATTCAACAATAGACTAGTCCAATGCCTTGGACTCCATTCCTCATGTCCTTTCTATTGACCTGTGAAGTCTACACCCATTTACATGGCCTGTATTGTTTAACTTATCCATTAATGACTTGGGGGAAGGAGCAGAGGCCTCAGCAAGTTCACTGAACACAGAGCTGGGAGGAGTGGCCGACAGCCCCAGAGCTGGGCAGCCCTTCAGAAGGGCCTGGACAGGCTGGAGAGATGGGCACAGGAATGGTCTGAAACTCAGAAAAGGCAAATGCAGGGTCCTGCACTGGGGAAGGACAAGCCCAGGCACCAGCCCAGGCTGGGGGTGACCTGCTGGAAAGCAGCTCTGCAGAGAAGGGCCTGGGGGTCCTGGTGGACAATGAGCTGTCCATGGGCCAGCAGTGCCCTGGGGCCAGGAGGGCCAAGGGGATCCTGGGGTGCATTAGGAACAGCACTGCCAGCAGGTCAGGAAGGTGATCCTGCCTCTCCACCCAGCCCCAGTGGGGCGTGTCTGGAGGGCTGTGTCCAGTTCTGGGCTCCTCAGGACAAGACAGACAGATTTCCTGGAGCAGAGCCAGTGAAGGGAAACAAGGATGAAGAGACTGGAACATCTCTCTTATGAGGAAAGCCTGAGGGAGCTGGGCCTGTTCAGCCTTGAGAAGAGACAACTGATAGGGACGCCCATCACTGTTTAAAAGTATCTGCAGGGGAGATGCCAAGAGGATGGAGCCTTTAGGAAGTTCTTTTCTGTGATGCTGAGTAATAGGACCAGAGGCAGAAATTGATGCACAGGAAGTTCCATGTGAACCTGAGGAAGAACTTCTTCACTGTGAAGGGAACGAGCACTGGCACAGATTGCCCAGAGAGGGTGTGGAATGTCCTTCACAGGAGATGTTCAAGAACAATCCTTTGCCATGTGCTCTGGGATGGCCCTGCTTGAGCAGGGAGGGAGGTTGGACCAGATGACCCCACTGTGGTCCCTTCTAATCTGACCCATTCTGTAATTCTATGACAGCCTTTATGAGATTATTAATAAGCACAGAGTCACTTTGAATTAGATTTCTCCCTAAGCTTCTACATCCCAGAGATGTGAGAGCAGCCAGTTACCATATTAAAATGCACAGTACCCAAAGCTTAATGTTTCCTTTCAGGATTTTTTCTACCATTATATAACTCAATGTAACTCAGTATTATGCTACAGACTGGCTGATAGCCAGCATCAATCTATTTTACCTGACTAGCAAGAAATGTCCCAGGAGGAGACACCTACAAACTTGTCACTGTGGTTCTGACAGCCAGTTTCTCATATTTTACATGAAGGAAATAGCATCTTTAACAAGACTATTTTGAATATGATCTCAGAAGTACAAGAGGCTGGCTGCCTTTCCTGTGTAGTTTCCATGAAGCTATTGGAGTTTATTTTTAGGTATGTGATCAACTCAGAACTATTCCAGTATTACTCAAAGCAAAACAGTATAGGTTCTTTAATTAGTCACCTGCATGCCTCACCAGGGAGGACAGAACACCCACACATCCTGCACCATGCCAGCCTCCTGTTGTCAGCCAATTTTCATAATGGCAAACAAAGTTCAGCATCCCAAGTAGCTTAGACACAAGACAAAGTACCATTCACTTTCAGTTTCATCCTTGCTTTACTTAAGGAGCCCTCACCCTACCCACACGATTACCAAGGTGGCTTTCTATTCAGGGTTCACTGAATCAAATGTATGTGTTTTACACAGATATCACTGAACAGATTATTAGTTCTGCTCTCACAGCTTGTGGCACTTTTCTGGTTCTTCTGTAACCCCAAGCTGGAAGGCACCTGATCATCTTCTCTGTGGAAATGGCTGGGTATCCTTGTGCTAGAGCTCATGTAATGGTATTAGAACATGGAAGAGCATTGAGCAAGCTTTAAAAAATTGAAATCCTAGACTTCTGTTTTACAAAGCTGTATTCACAAATGGGCAATCAGTAGTTTTCAAGAAGTATAGATTTTGGTCAAAAGGGTTTGGCCTGAATGTCACAGCCCACATAACCTAATTCAAGTTTCTGCAAAAGAAGACTAAGTTTTTTAAAGGGGAGGGTTTAAAACCTCTTTAACATCATCTAAGATTTTTTTTTGTTTTAGTGTCATATAAATTTCTTAGTATCAAACACAAAAATATGTACATCAATTGTTTTAGAGGGTGTCTTCAAAAATAAAAAAAGTTTATTCACGAAATTTATCCAGCATGGAAAACATTTTGTGTTTTGCAAAGGTATAAGCAACTATAAGGGAAACCAACAGTGTCAACATTAGGACCCTTGTAAATGCTATGAAAGCATAACTTACCCGAGAAAATTCCAGCCACCGATACTGAAAACGTCTACTGAGGTTAAATAACCTTGAATAAACCATCCTCCATACCAGGTAATTGGCAAGAGTCCTGTTAAATCAGGCATATTTTTATCAGACATGTAAACACATATGATGTACCACAAAGCACTCACAGAAATAGCTCCACAAACATTTTACCCCAATGGTGAAAACTTCACCTTAAAAATAAATGAGTGATGGTCAAATTGATAAATCCCAATTACACAGAAGAATCTGTATGATTGCAGCCATTTAATATACAATTGCCCCACGATAACCATCTTCTAAGGATTAGTTATAACAGCTCCATCACCTAGTACATAATTTTTAGATAATGTTTTTTTCAAAAGGCAGCTTTCATTTTCCTTAGAAGTAGCAAGAACTGTGTTATAATAATAGTTGCATCAAAGTTCTATCCAGGGATTAACTGGTTTTTCTTTTGTAGATCAAAGTGAATGTTATCTCCCCTCATTAGTAGGGCACATAAATGGTAACAGAATAGATAAGAGTCCATCCCATATACACTCTCATTATCTCATATTTGTATCTTTCATTAGAAGTTATCAATATGCTTTGAAAACTTCTACTATTCACAAAGTTATTAAAGTATTACCGTTCCTATTTTGTCAGATGGATAATTGAAATACCAAAAAAGAGAAGTATCAGTAACAAAAAACTTCTAAGAATTGAGGCTGAGAGATCAAGGAAGAGCTTTTTTAAAATTCCCAGGAGATCTGGCATCCACGCTCCTTTTATAAAACTTTGAGCACCTAACTAGAGGATTTATCCAGCCTAGACTGATATCTCTCCATGTTCAGCAGGGGCTGTATGAGCTAAAGGTGCATTCTGAAATACACAATTCAACATCAAACAGTCTCAAACAAATCCAACAATGGCCTACACTTACTATTCTCACCTTCTTTTATACATGACATATTGTTCAAGGATAGTCATTGTTTCAAAGCTAGGATAGTCAAATGTTATTTGTTCCCCACTGCAATATATATAACATTTTTGACAGGCCATAGACTTCTCTGGAAATAGGAAAATGGCTTCTATGCAACTGAGGGTGCTGTTATGGGCTGTCTGAACAACTCCCCCATCTCTGAAAACCTCATTTCTGCAATCTCCCATTGCCACAAGTGTGGGGCAATGCAGTTGTTATTGCAGTGTCACTTTCATTAGCTTCACTCAGAGACACATCCCAAGCAGCTCCCTCCTCTGAATCATAACAGCTTGGGAACACACTTTGTAGGCATGCTGTCTTGACAGCAGCATTTGCTGGAGACACAACTTTTTTGCCTCTAACCAAGCTCCAGTCCACCCACACAAAGGCTTCAGCTCAAGGTGTGTTGTTGCATCTCTCACACTGGGTATATTCCCTCTTTTAGTACACAGATATATTCTATAGTGCACCTAAATGCCCACAATAATTGTAAAACATATCTGAAAAATCTTTTTAGCATGCAACATGTACATTTATACAATAGTACAAGTCACAAAATGCAAATAGTTAGCTCTGTTTAGATAATCACACCATTTTAAGATAATGATCATTAAAAATTCATTTCAACCTAAGAAATGCCACAAAGTTCAGATTTTTCCCTTAGTAAGTTTCTAACAATGTGGAATTTTCTCATTCAATGACAAGTGAAGCACCCTAAAAGCACTCAGCTCTCACTGTTTTGGTAAATGACTCGAACTCCAGAAACCTCACAACAATCTGTCTCAGATATTTCAGCAGAGCTGAAAAATATCCAGCTGTAGCAACTTCTGCAGCATTTATACAAATCTCACAGATCAAAAGGTTAATAAAGATTTGCCTCCAATCAAAAGCCTTAGGTAAAATCCTTAGCTAAATAAATCACTATCATGCACCGATTGCGTATTACAATTTGGTACTTATTCACAAAACCAAAATCAATTCTGTCTTCTGTGTACTTGTTTTCACACAGCAATGTTTGTCCTTACATTTGAGTTGGGAAACCTCTCTCAAAATGGTAGTGAATGGAAGACTGAAATTCATAAAGGCTGGGTCTCAAAAGGTGACTTATTAAAAGACAGTAATATCAACAAGAATTCAGAAATGTTTGTGTCAGGTATAAGTAACGAAAGCAGATGACAATTGCATGAAATATAATTAATTGGGGATTGTTTTAATTTGGGAAGGAAAAGGCTGACACATGCTAAAACCAAGCTGCCTGATGAGACAGTAATAATTCCAGATTGTAACCACAACAGAATCCACCATGCATTAAACAACAGGGAGGTTCCACTTGAACACTTATGAATCAGGGGTGGAAAACAGGTGGAAAGGTTGCGGGGGTTTGTTCTCATGTGTTTTAAGCCCAGTGTGCTTTAGTTTGTTTTTTAAAACAAAATAAAATGTTAATTTATCTGAATTTGTTTACCTATTTGGGGAATGATTATTTTACATTTTGGGCTAACTATGCAAACTTCAAATCATTTAATTATCTTCAGTTGGCTTAAAAACTGACACTTTTTGCTGATAAAGCTACTACAGTGCAGACCTTGGGGTGATTTTCATCACTGAGTTTCACAAATAAGTTTACTGAGGCTTAGAGAAGTTAATCTCTACACATCAAGCAAAATTCAGCACACAAATAAAACACAAAAATCCTCTCTGCTCTTTCGATGATACCAGACTATTTGTTGTTGTAACCCTTCAGAAGAGTACACTCTATTTTAACTTCCTGTTAAATGCCTGTTGCAGAAAGTGAAGGCTCACTTTTAACCAGTATGACCCTTATTGTGACACACATTCCCAAAGGAAGTGGTAGAGAGATTGTTTGCTGGGACAGTTAAAATTATACCAGTACTTATGAATATTTACTAAAGCACTTTCTGTCCTGTCTGAGAATAAAGTAGGTTGCTCATGTAAAATTCTGTGAGTTTGTAATATTTTAATCAACAGACATGGTAGCAATTAAAAAGGACAGATTTAATATGAGATAGGTGGAAAAATTAATTGACATGTTAAGGAAAAGATCTCTCACAAATTTTAGATCTGTTTGAAAATTCTATTCAGAACTGAGTCACGAATCAAATTATAAGTACTGAAAAACTTTTGCCTCTATTGCTAGAGGCACTAATTCAAGGCAAATTATTGTAACTTCTCTGATTTTTCAGATGCAGACTAAGACCAGAAAAGAGATCCAGTGCCTCCCTCCATCTCTGAAAAAAATTCTTCATATGCTATATGAATTAGAGTTCTTCTCAATTAATAGTCCCATATTGAAAGATATGGGAAGGTAAGACAAGGGAAAAGGGGCCTGCAAGAAAGCTGGAGAGGGACATTTTACAAGGACATATAGTGATAGACAAGGGGGACTGGCTTTACACTGAAAAAGGATAGATTTATCATCTATGAGGAGGAAATTCTTTACTGTGAGGGAGACGAGGCACTGAACAAGTTGTCCAGTGAAGCTTTGGATGCCCCATCCCGGGAAGTGTTCAAGGCCAGGCTGCCCTTGCCCATCACAACGGGCTCTGAGCAACCCAGCCTAGTGCAAGGTGTCCGTGCCTGTGGCAGGGCTGCTGCAACAAGGTGATCTATAGGGTCCCTTCCCATCCAAACCAATCTATGAAACTAATTATGCATTCTGAGAGCTATGAGAATGATAAAGCTGCTTCTTCCAACAGCTGCAAGGATCTCCAGAAAGGATGCAATTTAGAGTATCCTATTTATGGCTCCCATAAAGCACCAGCACACTGGTAACAGGGAAGGGATATAAGCTCCTAATTAGTGCCAGCACAGTTCTATCTCCCTCTTCACATGGCACAGCTGTACTGGAGCTCTGCCATGGCTCATTTACATCACAGCTACATACACTCACCTCTTCTTCCTGTAACAGAGATAAACCCCATAGAAATGAATTAGTGCACCAAAAAGCTGAAGGAATCCCTAAATACCTCTTACAAAGTTGAGACTTACTTCAGCACCTGACATGACTAAGGCTAGCTATCCCCAAGCTGGTGGACACTCGTGCAGGCTGGTTGCTGAGTTTCTTGGGCAGCTCATTATGGAATGCCCAGCTCCTGGGCTGGAGTCACAGCAGTGCCCTGGCCTGGAGACTTCAGAGTGACCTCCGGACACTGCTGCACCTATTTCAAGCTCCACACAGCAACTTGATTATATGCAGTTAAGTAAAATTCTGCTAAACTCATGCTACACCATGTCAATGTGCTCTCTTCTGGTAATATTGCCCCGTGAATGATTTCACAATCCAAGATTGCTCAGCAAGTTCTCTGAGGGAGAAATTTTTAATGCAAGGATTGGGAGTCTGTACAACTTAACACCTCCAACACAAAGTGCCTCTGTAGCCAGACTTAATTTTCACTCCATTCTTTCCTCCACCTGAAACAAACTTCATTAAATACTTTACCAGATCACTGGGTAAAATACTGGGGCATGAGCCATCTTTTTGTGACATTTTCAATAGTACCCAGGCTAGAGGGTGTTCATTCAGGAAGAGGACACACAAGGCACAGGAATAAAAGTATAATTTAGGGATAGCCTTGTAACTGAAAAGAATATGAACTTGGTGAAAGTACCTGCTTTTCCTAATGACAGTCCATCTCCTGAAATGATGAGAAGATAATTCCCATTATGAACACTGAAGCAAATTTAAAATTTTGAAATGTTTTTCTAGGAATTTCAGGTCTATGTATTTACAGTAACAAATCAAATTCATGTTGTTTACATTAAATAAATCTTTAAAATGGCATATGGAGAATGACAAATGCGACTACCTAAAAGAAAATATCCTTGTTAAGCTTTCAGAGTTCACCCTACAGGGAAATGCTGAGACCTCATTGTTAGGAGTCCACATTGAGATGATTTCCTAATTTTCTCAGGCCAGATAACAAGGTTACCTCTGGAGCAGACTCTGACATTTTAAGTAATGAACATTATCACCTAATAGATAAACATGATCTTGGTTATCAGGCCTGGGCTGTTTGGATACATTTTACACATAAGAATTTGAAGCCTGCTTGGGTTCACTTTAGCACTATTTGCCATTTCTAACATTTTATCTGCAAATTTTTAGAATAAGACTGGGCAGAAAATGCCTAAGCCATTAATACCTATAAAATATGCAGTGTGAATATACTGGAACTGATTTTGCTCACCATCTCCCCCCAACCTGTGAGGTCAGAAACCTGGTCTTGAGCTTTGCTAAAGGCAGGCATTGCAATTATTTCTGGTCATTACTCCAGCCTCCTTCTGCCACGACACACTGGCTGGCTTAAATTCTCTTGAATGCTAAAATTTTCCTTGAATAAGAAACTAATGGAAAAAGTCTCCAGGTATTTACTCTGCAGTTACAGAATATATTTGCATCTAAGTGTATTGGTATGCAGGGAATAACTAATTCCCTGTTATCTTGCTAGATATGCATCCTCTAAATCACACATTTATACCCACTGATGTAACAAACTTTGAGTTAGAAAGCAGAGACAGCCCAAATAATACTTTCTTCAATAGATTAATATTGGCAGCAGTAATGCTACTTATCTGAATCTTTTTAAAGAAAGGATATTGGATGATCTGTAGGCAAATCAGTAATTTTTATTTTTCTAATTGATTTGTGTGCTATTTTTACAGGTACTATGAACTAATGTAAGCATTCCATCACTAGTGACAGAGAGGGACAATATAAGAATAATCTTTGTCCTTTTTTTCCTGAAATACATTTGGTTGTGGTCATACTGTACAATCAGCAAAGATTGATATTTGGAGACAATATCTTAACAAAATTTATTTTCAAGTTCAGTAACATGCTTCAGAGACCAAATTATCTCAGAAATCCCTTAGATATCGTCAGTAAGGATGTTTCAAATGGGATGTCACTTTTTCATTACTGCCCAAAGCTGTCTTGCTTTCTCTGTGCAAAGCACATCTACCCTGTTTAATTTGAGCTACCTGCATTTTACAACTATGTTCTACAGGTGTAAAGAATTTCACAAGATGCAAGACCCTATAAAAGTAAGAGATGCTGAATGCATCTGGAAAAAGCAGCTTTACTGCAACCTGTGTTAACCATAGAAGAAATGTGTTGAAACTGAAAATTCTCCTGCTGTGCACAAGGTAATATCTAAATCCTCATTCAGACAAAACCAAACAGACTGTTTGCCTAGAGACTTGATTCCAAGAATAGCTGAAACTCATGGAAAAAAAAAAATAGAAAAAGCCCAGCATTTGATGTCCCCTACAAGTGTGAGTGAAACCAACATAGGATCCTTACTTTTTCCTTTCATTTTCTAGTATCCTGAATAAATCTTTGAAGTACTGGGGAACACGGACAATCACATTTTCTGAAGGACCTATATCTTTAAGCTCAGGATAGAGTTTGGTGTCAATCACCTTCTTGATGTATCCCAGCCAGTCAAACTGCAATGACAAAGAGAAGGCTGGTTAAAGCAGGTTATGGGAGAGATGATTTATTAACTAAGTTACACCTTTAAAACTAATGGTTTCAGTGCTCTACTTATTAAAAACTTAGAAACTATTGCACTTTGTCATTACATATGTTTTCAATCCTCATTAAAGTTGGAACTATATTTGAAAGAACATACACAGTAAATGAGCACACGCATTCCTAATGATGCTTCTTTAACATGCTGCTCTGAACACTAAAGACAGTTTTAATTATACAGGTCAGATATTAAAAAAAAAAAAAAATCAGTTATCCCCAACCTACCTGTGGAATCATGGCACTAAGCTCCGATATGTTCATTTTATTGTACATCACCTCACTTGTTCGATTTTCATATGGAATCATGATCTGGTGTAGAGAAAAAAATGCATAAAACCATCAAAACAAGGTTTATCTCACAGGGACTCTTACGTCATTACCATCCTTCATAATCCCGGTGCAGAAATATCTCACCACCTTTTTTCCAGGCATTTATGGCACTAACCACTGTTTCTGAGGATTGCATTTAGCTAGAAGAAATGGAACATAGTTCCTTTTATGTTTAACTTATTACTGGGGAATTTAATGAGCTGCATGTCTTCTTTGGACTTGAGACTGATTTAGCTCTGATTATGCTAAGGAAAGACATGTTAATACATAAGAGATAAAAGTACACCTTGAGCATTAATACTTATTCATTCCTTCCTATTGAGTAGAAGCCAACCTCAGATTTAACAGGTCAAATCTGAGATAGGTGCATCTTCATAACTGGAAATGCATCTCATGCCTTTCAATGCTTTCTTGATAGACCTTTACTCCACCTGGGGGAAGAGCCAAATACACAAAAGTTTCTCCTCATTTCACCCCACCATCCTGATTTCCATAGCAGGACACCTGAGTATATAGGCCAGACATGAATAAAGCATTCCCCAAACAGGCCCCTCATCTGACTGACCAGAGGAGCCAGATCTCAAGTTCCTCTGCAGCATCCAAGGATACAGCAAAAGAAACCCTAAATATGAAGCAAGTCCTTTTATAACTGACAGGAAGGACATGCAGACTCCAAGACAGCCCTGTGGTTCATAATAGTAAAACAAACAAAGTACAAGATATAGCTCAAAATTTTCTCAGTGTTCAAGAGAAACAAAAATCCCAGTGGCAATTCCAGCCCTGCTGTAAGGTAAATCCTATACAACAGTCTGTATGCTGGGCAGTCTAAAGGACAGAGATTGACACCAAACTAACCAGACAGCTGGCACTTCTCCAATCAAAATTCTCCAGTAAGTGTTTATGGTTTTAGTATTGCTCAATCCATAGGGAAAAAAAAAATTACTTTATTTTCCATTTCTGCAAATTTCATTTATCTGAAAAATCTTTAAACACTTCTTGAAGCCATTTACTCCCTTCCTCTCAAAACTTTCCCTCTTGCTCCAGTGATTCAAACTTAATAAAAATCTTTCTTGTACACAACAAGATCTCTCAAAGCATGCCACTCCTCCCTATATCCAAAGTATTCTTGCTGCCTCTGCCTGAGCACAGAAACTCTCCATTATGTAGGTTTACTTGAAAAAATGCAAAGGAACACTGGATACAGTAAAACCTCCAGTGACAAACAGGACTACCTCCATCACATTAAGATGTTTATATAATCATTATGTTTATTAGGGTTTATGCAAGAACCCATGTCCACTGACTCATGCCTAATATCTGGACAGATGTTAGGAGGATTATCTTACTAAAAGAACCTGTAAGCAAGCATGGCTTGTTGCATAACAGTGTGCATTACTGATACTGAGGGTTGTTACATGATCCATGCCATCTTACGTGGCAGCTTCACTTACATACTTTGTGGATTGATGCTCTGTAAGACACTGTAAGGAAAGCATTAGAGCTACCAGAGCTAAGGATACATCTTCTTATGCCATCACAGATAAACAGAACAAATATGTACTGTTTTTCATGTGTGCTGGGTCACAAGGAAATATTTGTGCATTAGTCCATCCATGTTACGTAACTGAAAATTAATGTTGGGCTTAGACGTTTAACAAAATTTCATCCCTTTCAGCAGAGAGAGGGAAACACTGATTGGCTACTCTTGTGGGTGGCCCTCACTTCTGTACAAACACACCATTAAGAGGCATCCTGTAGACTGCAACACCAGGATCCAGATAAAAGACATCTGCTGCATCACCTGTCCTGTGCAACAGGCTTCTCTGTTAACAGGAGACCAGCATTTCACAGGGATAGCTACTTTCCTTGCCAATATGAAGGAATACTCAGCTCAGCTGGCAGCTCTGCAAACCAGCATCAGTCTGTACCCTTACTTTTGGTGGTTTCCCAACACTGAGGTCAACCCTTCTCTCTAGTTTTAGCAGAGGTTGAAATGATAATGAATTGCCGCTCCCATGAGTGGGATTCCTGTAGTAGCCACACTGAAACAGAGATATAGAGATGCAAAAACACTGCTTCAACCTGCAATAATCCTGTGGCATAAATTAAACTCCTCTCAAAAATGTCACCAAGTAAATGTCAGAACCAAGTACCAGATTTAAATATGCTTAGCTTTACTAAATTCAGTTGATCCCTTAAATTAAAACATCTACTCACCCAGACTACTCCATGAAAACACTTCAGGAGCTAAAGGTGGTACTTCTGTAAACACTGCCTCTCACCACCAAGATCCAATATCCCACCTAAGATTTGCACTGCTTTTAGACTGTTCTACAGAGAATCAGCCCAGTCTGCTTCTTAAACAACAGAGTAATATATTCTTAACACAGGTGCATGGCCAGAGCTCAGATTCCACCCAGTTTCAAAATTATATAATCACTTAGGTTGGAAAAGACATGTAAGGTCTTGAGTTATGTCATATTTTTCCAGCTGCCTAGTGGGCACCAGTGAATTGGTGTAGATGCACTTCAGCTGGGATATTGATCTCATCACCTTTTTGGAAGCAGAAGCCCTGATTCTTATGGGACCATCCTCAGGCACTTCCACAGTTTCTAACACATCAACAGCCCCTGTATCTCTGTTGTCATATGGATCTCCATCCCTCACCTCCACTGAGATGGCAGACCAAAGGACCTTGCTAATACACCATCCTTTAAGCATTGCCATGCCACCCTCAGACTTGCCTCTGTTCAGCCTGGCTTACTTTACAATTTAAAACACCAAGGGTATTTGGCTAAGGTTTTTCTGCTGAGAATAAAATTTACAGTTTAGCAATTAACTAAGGGAGAAACATTATTCATCCTTTCTTCATCAGGATCTGCTCCTTTCCTTCTGCTTCTAAAATCCCTTTGCTAATGCTGTTGATACAATGGCTTTTCATTTTGAGAAAGGATTATATTAGATTACCAACCTCTGCTATTTTAACTTCCAGTTTTAGAACTGATTTCATATCAGATTCGGCTCGTGAGGCATTTGCACCCAGAAGCACTGCTGTATCAACCATGAACTGCAAAAAGGCATCTCGGTACTGTAAAGAAAGAGAAAGACTGAAATGACAACAGGATTTGCTCTTGAGCAGAGCTGCAGCAGCAGACCAGAAATGCTTTCATGCCTTAGGAACCAAGGCTGTGCTTTTCTTACCTTGAATGCCAAGCAAGTTAAAAAGGAGAAATAACACTGTAAAAATACCATGCATGACAGAGACAGCTGCTGCGGTTCAGGGAGTACAAGTCTCAGGAAATGCAAATGACAGTTCTGGATTAGACTGACAACTTTCAGCTCTTACAAACGGATTAGACAATGTGTAAAAATGTACACCAGTATTTTAGGCCTACTAATACAGTAACCACCATGGGACAGAAGTACTTGTATACAACTGTAAATTTCATTTAGGAAACTTTGCAAGAGTGTTTGATAGAAGTGGAGTCTTCTGCTAGATACCCTGCAAAACTCAAATCCAAGCAAAGCACAGCCCTTTCTCAGTTTGGAGCTCAACAAAACAAAACCAACAGTGAAAAAAGATGAGGGGGAAAATGGTGGCTCTATTATCCATCTGACAATACTTACAGATTTGGCTTCTGTTGTATTTTCTAGGTAATCCTCTCGAGATGCCAGAGAGAGGCTTGCTTGATCAAGCTGTTAAAAACAACACAAAGTAAAATTTAACAGCTAAATTCATCAGATTCAAAGATAAACTGACAAGCAGCTTTGGAAGGGTTCATGTTTTTCTGATAATTACAGTAGCTGTGTGCAAATACCTAACATATAAAACACTGCACCAGTCTGAGTTGGACAGGATTTCAAAACAGGAAAATGCTATGCTGTGCTGACAGGTATTAACTAAATCACATTACTGTGATCTGGGGAGCCTCAGATGACCTCTGCAATAGCTAAGCCACCTAAAGAAAAGAATCACAGGTGTGATTTAGGTGTTTAAAACAGCTACATCAGTGAGTAGAAAATGCAAAAGGACTGGGTCTATAGGATCAAACCACTGGTTCTGATGACCATGCATCCATCCTATGCCTATTTCAGGGGTACAAGAGTCAGCTTGGGACCACACTAGTCTAGTGTATGCACCAAATGCCCCTGAGGTGCTGGAGCATGAGAGCTGCTGTCTATCTGGGAGGCATCATCAGGTTTTTGTGACTGAAACTGAGGTTACACTTTTGAGCTTCACCCTAGACCAGCACTGGCGGCTGTACTCAGTCTTTTGAACAGATGAACTGAAACTGAAGTGCCTACCAGCCAGGAGTGCATGCACAGGATATTATGTCCCAAATACTTTAGCTAAAGGTGTCTTGTAGTCAAGATGGATCTTTGGCCTTCACTTACCTTTTCCATCTAAACATGGATCAGATTTTCTGGTCTACATTCACCCTAATATTGGAATCAGGCATGAAAGTTTGAGATTTGCATTTAGTGTCTTGAGTGAAACATCTACGTGAATGGGATGTATTGGGAATATTTCCATACTGTTTCATTTGAAACATAGGGATTTTCCTAACTGGGAAAAGCTCACTATGCAGGATATATTTTATATATTATATATTTTATAATAATTACTGGGAACTGAGATTTCCCAGAACTTTGCAATGTGATCAAGTCAGGTTAGGGTATGGAAGCCAAAGCTGAAAACTTCCATCAACCAGCTTCCAAACTCTGAATAAGATACTGATTGGAGCAGAAACAACTGCTTTGATGTCCTAAACATTTTTGGTTTGATGCTGCAATAGTTTTTAAAAGATAAGTCTAGTGACAAAAGATTCTATTTATTCATACAATTCATATAAGTTTTTTTAATCCAAACACTTTAGGTTATGTGGTTTATATTTCACATTTTCTACATTTAAAAAATAAATAAAACTTAGAATTTAAAGTGAATAAATAAATGTAATCTTTTCCTGTACAAAACAAACCTTCCTCAGAAAGGAATAATTGTGACGTTCAGTACAATTCTCATTCTTTGAAAAACAGCATCACTTTCTTTTCTCAGCACAATAATGCAAAAAGAATACACTCTTACATTTTTTGTACATATGTTTTTGCAATAGTTAACTTCTGATTATTTGGGGAATTTCAATTATGTGACTTACATTAAATGCTCATTCAAATTCCCTGGTCTTAAGAATTAGATTTGACAGCACATTAAACCAAGAGAGCACAAATATGTGAAATAAACAATAAAAGTTAACAAACATCTTCAGCACTCATGGAAAAACAAAAATATAATGTTGAATGCTGAACAAAGTTTTATTTGGAGTTTCCACTTCTTTTATGACCCATTGATGATTTTGCAATGCTGAAGAAAAAGAATTTTGCAATAAAGATATTTTCACAAGCAGATTGAAATACTGTGTGGTACGTCTACACCCCAGGGAATTTGTTAAAACATGGACAAAGTAGAGCACTGGCTGATGCATTCTGCAGATCAAGGTCCTAATCAAACCAGCATCAGAACACCCTACAGAATAATCTGTCATTCATAGCATGTCGTGCTTCAGTTAGACATTGAATTCCTAGGTGCTCCTAAGCGTAGAGAGTGAAGGTACTGCTGGTTGTAAATCATTCGCAAGAGACCAGCAGCGAGGGTGTCCCTGCCCAGCCATTTGCTGACAGGTGACTTGAACGGAAATATGATGACAGGAGACACGGATAAACATCTCCCTGATTCTACAGCTTCAGCTCTTTTGAGTGAGTCTCCAGCTGAAAAAAACCTGACAGGATCTCAACAGCATCAAAGCAGAATGACACCTTCAATACAGCAAACTGTTGATCTGCTGTTGATTATCCTGGAAAATGTTCTAGAGATGAGGGAAAGTTACCCTTTAACTTTATGCCAGTTAAAGGGTAATGCCTCAGTCAAAAGACATATGGAAGAACTGACTCAGAACTGACATCCACTCCAGTACCACCACAGTTCCTAAATACAATGTATTCTTGGCTACATTCCTACAGCTAGCCAAGATGCTAGCAAAATAAGGATCTTAGGTGTTTTTTTTGCTGTGATGAATGCCATCATAACTTTCTTATTTGTTCCTTCTCTCTTGCCTTCATGAACTGTTTTCTTGTAGCCATGGAGGGAAGGTCTGCTCTGGCTTCTCAGCTGAAGTTCTTAAACAACAATGCATTTGGCCCAGGCACTCAGTCTTGCCACAGTTATACAATTTTATCTGGAATTTTGTCAGACTACAGGGAGGCAACATTTCTTGAGTCTTTTTCTTACTAAACTGTTATTTAATGCCATGCACTGTTAACAATTTGGTAATGTTTTGGTCTAAAAGCAATTTCAAGGAAATTTCAATTGGTCTAAAAGCAATTTCAGGTCTAAAAGCATTTCAGGAAAAATGTGAATTCTTCTATTTCACATTTAAAAGCACTTGGGATAAATCTGTGTTCTAAGGTGCTATATAAGCACCAGATTGTTTCCATCTCAAGAAAAAACAGCTCAAGTTCAAAATATCTGCTACTGATGGACCATTTTTCATCCTCACAGGCAAAAAGCCTTCTTCATACAAGCGATGAGTCATAAGCAGCACACAGAATTAGATATTGAGCTCTTATTCTCAAGCACATAGAACCTGGCTATTGGTCTACTGGGAAATTTTTATGGGTTTTTTCCATTTGAAAGAAGAAAACCTGTCCAGAAATACCTTCCAATAGCATGTAGTGGCTAGTGGCTTCTACATTCCCATAAACTGGCACCTTACACACATCTGTAAGCCAGTAGATAATAACAACAACAATCAAATGTAAACATTTGGTATGTAAACATGTTTTTAAAAAGAGACCATAAAACAGCATACAGAATAACCTGTTAGAAATGCTGTACTGTACCTTCAGGATGTAGCGATGGGAGATTTTGTCATCAGCAGCCACATACAAACGGATGAAGACTGAACTGCTGTATTGGCCACGAAGAGTTGCCAAGGCTTGGACTAAGCTGAACCTCCTTTCTGACCACAGTCCTTCAGGTCCAATATTGGATTCCAACACAGGCCAGCGGAAAGGCGAATGCTTCAGGATACTTAGCAGGGGTTTCACATCAGCTTTTTCAATTTTATCTGAAATGTCAAAGTGTGACAACAATTACATTCCAGACAATTCAAGTCCAACAGCAGCCACACAAGACAAAGATTTATTGGCATCGATTGATTTCCAGGCAAGGCATTCACAATAGCTGAAACTCAAAGCCTCTGCTCTGCCTGTGAGCACGGCAGCATAGAGCCTTCTGTATCAAGAATAAGAAAGGCAGGTCCGTGCCTTTCCAAAAAGACAAAGGCTGGAATTAGGTGAATTTAAAAAAAAAAACCCAAACTACTCCTTGCTTAGGAACTAGCATAGAAATTTCACTGGTTTTAGGGAAATCTGAGGGGTTATTGTTCATAATCAAAGCTAGAGGGGCAATATCTGGGCACCAAGGCTGTAGAGCAGCTGCCTCACTTGCTGGCAGTCAGACAGGTCATGCTGGAAGAAAACTGTACAGGAAATAAATCCTGAAAGAGTCAGAAGGACAAAGGGGACTTCCAAGACTTCTTTGTGCAGCTAAGTAAGAGTAGTGATGTGTCCCGAATTAGTGACCGTTACCTAACAGCAGCATTGACAAGCTGAGGAAAAGCACTCTGCAAACACAGCCAACTTGCTTGACATGCAGATACCACAGCTAAAGAGTCCAGGGCTGTCTGTACCCAGCCCTGGGGTAGTATTTCGATAAAACAGATTTAGAGAAGTGTAGAAGGTGACGAGCAACAGGGTCTTGAAAATATCAGTATGAGAATTTCATCAGAGGGTTCCTCTGATTTAATAATTCCAGGCACTAACCCCACAACCCTGGGGCACAGTTTAACATCCTTTTGCACAGAAAAGTATCTCTTCACAGTTCTGACAAGCACAGGTTTCTCTAAAACTGACTTGTGCCTGAGTGTACCTCAGTCTCAATTCACAGCTTCAGATGTGTGAAAGACCCTCAACCCCAGCTGAATCTGTATCAGTAAAGTTTATGCATCTGCACAAAGCTTCACAGAGCTCTGCAGAGAGACAAAAAGCCTGCCTTTATAAATGCAGGGAATGCATCTATGCCCTCCTCAAATCAATCTACTTACCCTCATTCATGCAGGATGCATAAAGGGTCTTGGCCTTCTGTACAGCTTCACTGTCTCGTCTTTTGCTGATGGGTTTCTCTAGCAATGCTGAAAAAACAATTTTTTTCAATACTTTGGAAAATGTAGACAGTTTACCTGTTTCAGCATTCACTTTAATCACAGGATTTGTTTAATTAAGTATGAGGCTCCATGCGTACTTTCTTAAGCGGTAGCACAGACATAATTGCAACTTTTTCAATCCCCAACAGAGAAGGATTTTTATTTATTTATTTATTTTAAAGAGAACTGATATAAAGCTAAATGACAGATGCAGCTTGTTACTCATCCTCACAACCAGCTACCCTCCGCAAACTGAGGTGACAGGCAGTCATGGGGTGAGGGAGGGAACCAACACACAGAGCAGGGAGTCAAGAATTTTTTCAGCTTCTGGTGCTGGTACATTATGAAATCAGCACCTAAGAGAGAAGGCTACAGGATCCCAGGAGCAAGCTGTAAATCAGCCACGATGCAGCTGCAGATACAAAGTACTGTGGCTAAATGTAGAGACAGCTGAGCTTCAGAGAGATCTGTCAGCTCAGGTGCTGCACAGCACAAGCACTTCCACAGCCAGGAGAAACAGGTAACTCTTGAGCACAGCACAGGAACAGGGCTGGCAAACTCTGTGGGACCTATCTGGTTTTGCAAGACCCAAGCAAGTCCTGCACAGCCTTACCTGATTGTTACTGGGACCACTGGAAGGAGTGGCTTTTCTGGTATCCTGTAATGGGCTGAGCCAGAGCTAAAAAGCCTTGAAAAATTCAGGACTCCCTTCCCAGCACCAAAGTACCACCCAGGGCTCTGGGTTTCAAATGAGCAGAGGCAGCACAGTGCAAGTGTGCTGAGAAGCATGGCCCACACAAAAGGGAGAACAAAGAAAACAAGAGTCCAGAGGCCTGTGGATGCAGAGAACCACTGAGACTCCACAACACCAGCCATGGTGAGGCCAAACAGCTCCCAGATCCAGAGCTGGATCGGGGTAAATGCAATGTTATTCTTCTGCCAGGACTGGCTGGGGACACGCAGAATACAGAAGAGGTGGTGGCACTGCCACCCAAAAGCAGCACCCTCCTGCAAACAGTGGAGGCTGCTCACTCTCCAGCCCTGCTCTTTCCACCCCGCAGTGCTCCTCTCCATGGAGGCAAACGGTGGGTGTGACTGCGGGGTTCCTCAGCTGAGAACAACCTGGGCTTGCACAGCTTCTCTCAGTAATAGGAGTTCACTGCTTGGAGCAGGATCTTAAGGCACTTATTTCCCACAATTTCCCTACCCCCTGAGGAACCAGCCATGCTGCACCTCTTAGCTATTCCCCACCTGAGCTCATATAAGCACTCAGGGGACCATAACGCAGACCTCACACTGTTTATTACCTTATCACTCAAGGAATACCATAGTGATGAGCAATACCACTTTTCTCTCCCTCCAACCCCTTTTCTCCTTAAACAAACAAACAAACAAAAAATCCCATTTCCCAATTCTTTTGCTTAGTCCATTAAGAGATTTAATGAGATTATTCTCTCTTAGTTATGAATAAGATTTTTTCCATAAAAATACTCCTGGAGAGGATAGCTTTGGTTTCAAAGCCTCAAATATTTCCCAATTTGTTAAATACAATGTAATGCAAATCACCTATATATATGTTCAGTGTGTACAATTCGTAGCAGCATAATCAGACATGTTCACATTTTTAAAATGGCATTTTGAAAGAAATGATAAATGAATCCTCCATGAAGCTAAGGATGAAAAACTACCCTCCCATTAAAGCCATTACAATAATTTCTGTCTTTGCCAGTGAGCTGTACAACCATGAAATTTTGAAGCTAATAAAATCCAATGGCTAGAGCTCAAGAGAGAAACAGATTATAAGAGCCAATAAAATCAACTGTAGAGATAAAACTGCATCAAATTGTGTTAAAATCAGCCCTTGTCTTTTCCCATCAAACCATTTCATTAAAGTGACATCTACCCCACCTCACCACTGCAAAGAGTGAGGTGGGGTAGATGCTGCCAACTTGCTCAGAATTCTTTTATGAAAACAATTGTCAGTTCTGATAACATAAAATCCAGTGATCAAATATGAAAGACTCAATAAGATTCTTGAATCCTGTGAACACTGAAACAGGGGGTGTGGTCTTTAGGCTATGGAGGTTTCCCAGCCTTAACCTCAATTTTTCAGAACGATTTAGAAGCGCAAACCTGGAGCACTGCTCACATCCACATGATTTCTACATTAGCTAGTATAAAATTCAAACAGAATATTTAGAAATTTGTTTCTTATTTAGCTCACAAATACATATGGATTTTATGTGTCCTTGAGTATTTAAATTCTTAAAGACGAACAGTAAGAAAAGGCAAGAAGCACAGCGTACTGATCAAAGGTATATGTAATCAATTAGTCTGTCTAGAGGTTGCTTATTCATGGGAAAGAAGTCACTACTGTGACTGAAATCAATGTAGGCCCATCGAGCTCCCTTTAAATTAGCAATATTGGGCCCTGTGAGCAGCCTGGCCACAGCTGCAGGCTCTGACAAACCCACCCCACAGAGAGCAAACCTGTTTGTGTGGGTTGATGCTCGCTGCTCTCTACAGGGCAGCCTTTGGGAGGGCGGCAGCTCAGTCTGCTATCCCAGGCTCTGCAAGCTGAACAAACCTGCCCCAGGACCATCCCACACTCCCTGAGCAGTGCTTCACCTCCTGACACATGACATGGATTTCAGGCTCTCATCTACAGGAAGGGAAATGCCAAGCTGTGACACACAGAGAGCAAATTCAGCCTGTCTGAAAAAGTTCACCTGAACTACAGCTGTCTGGGAGAATTGTCTTTCCACTTTAAAAAACTGTAATAGCTTCAGATATTTTCTGTTTTGATGCCAAAAGGTAAGCGAAACCTATGTTGTCTTTCAAGGCATAGGAAGAGAAAGACCACCAAAGATCAGCTAATGTTACGCCTCATAAAAAACCACAGATTTTCTGTTTTGTTCTTTACTTTGTGTTTCCAAGCTCCAACTGTCATGGATTGACACTGGCACGGTTTGACCATAACTTCCCAAACCCTCACTTCCGGGTCAAACCATGACACCAACTCTAATGCCTCACTAAGGAATTGTGTGTATTCATACAAATCCACTGAGAAGTTCAGTCTGATAGGCTTTCCTTAAGCACAGCTCCCTTAAACTTTGACCTAGTTAGGGAGATAGAGCTACCAACATTTTGACTAAAACAGCACACTTAGCCTGAGAAGGACATGGAGCTTCTTCTTGGAGCTGTCTTGCTTTCTTGCTTTCTGTTTTCTTGTTTCAAACCAGAAGTTCTAATTCCTTAAAGCAATTTTCCATTTTAGGACACCATTTTTTTACCTCTAAAGAAGAATTGTTAGGAATAAATAGTTTTGATCAGATTAGGAAATACACATCACTCCAACAAAATCTGCAGAGGTTAAGAAGAAACCACAATCTAAGCTGATTTTCAGGCATCTGAAAAAGCACAGAATTGTTATTAACATCAACCAAAATGTAACAATTTATTGCTGCTACTGAGTTATACGCCTAGCCTGCCTGCAAAGCAGAATATCATAACCAAAAATCACCAGGACAAACAAAGTGAACCAGCATAGCTTAAGCCAGTTGAATATACAGTTTGGATCCTATTTCCTTAGCTAAATACCAAGTATATGTTTGAATAGCTTTTTCAGTAAAACAGTTCTTTTCCAGTTACATACTTTCTTCACTTTTAAACTATTTCCAAAGTCATTTTCTTTGGGATAAAAAAAGATCTTTGCCTCTATCACTTACCTCAACACCTCATTGGTCATATTTCCTTATGCACAGGATGCCCAAATTCAAGATTTATGTTTCCCTTCACATAAAACTTAGTTATGGCAAGTGTCAACACCTATTAGCAATTGCACTCCACAGTGCTGTAATAACATATGTCATTAAGCAGCTACCACTTGCACAGTCAGAAATTGGCTAAAGATGTTCACAATATCCTAAACTTCCTGAGGCTGCAAATGGCTTCATCATTCACTTTCTTGTATAAAGGATGAGGGTGTAGAAGTTCCCATTTCAGTCAAGGTTCTTGAACTTCTGTCACCCCAGGTCAGGCAGGTCTGCATCACTGCACTCCCTGACTCTCATATAAAACACAAAGACTCAGCATCACCAGCAAAAACCACTCCATAGCTGAGAGTGATCTTCATTTATCTGAACTGGAGATTCTCAGATATACAGTCAAGGAAAAAAAGGCACAACTGTGGGTGGGGAGCTGGGAAGGAAGGAAGGGAGTTATACTGAGCTGCCTTCACATAGTTCTTTTTCAAGGCAAGAGGGCTAAAAAAGGCCAGCTTCCTGTGGTTCACTACCCTTGAATAAATAGCAATCATCTGCTGTTAAAAGTGAGAGCAAGGCACATTACAAAGTAAGCTTTGCATGTGTGTTTATTTAACTGCATACTATTCTAAAGCTGCTAAGGATAGTCTTGTGGTTAAGTGTCACCTTTAATCTTACTTTCCATTTCCAGTCCTTGTTGATTTTCCAGCCCACTGTCTTTGGTTTTCTACCATCATATTTTATTTATGGTGGTGAGAAATCCCGTGCCTTTCCTTCTTCTGACTTGGACTGCATGAAAAAGGATTTTAAAGCCAGATTTGCAGAGAAAAGAAACACGCACACCATTCATTCAGATTAGGAATATTGATTCAATTTATCAGTGTCCTGATCAGGTTGTATATATACTGTACCCTCTCAGACAGTTTTCCATATATATGGTTGCATTGAAATCCTGAGAAATACTGAGTTATTAATGAGGTTTATTTCCTATTCTAGTGAGAAAAATAAAAGTTTTCTCTGCACTTTACAACTCTAAATATAGAGAAAGATCTAGTTGCAAAAGACAGTAGCATTTTTCCATTAGTTTTTGTCCTTATCCTTTTACAAACATTTACTCTGTGTGGAAAATGCAAGCTCAAGTGTTTGCACAGTGATATCTGAAAATTATCTAAAATATATTATAATGCTTTGTATCTTGAAGAAAAAGAACTCCATGTGCAAACA